TACTGAGTAAACAGGCAATAAAACAACTGCTCTTATGTGAACCAGTAGGATCCCTGTACTGGTGATGTATACACACACACACTAATAATAATAAACAAAAATTACATGAATACAGATAGAGGTGTCAGGCACAGAACAGCATGGCTGCCACCTCTGACAGTTTTAGGGAGTTGCGGTTATATCCAGACTCAGAGATTGTAGAGCTGAGCCCTATGTGTGAACAAAAGCTAACCTGTGTCTGAAAAGAGGGTCACAGACTGGCCTGTGGGGGAATAAACAATGGAGAGAGGAATGCTAATGGCTGGAAAACTTGGCCCATCAGAGGTCTGGATCTTTGTGTCAGCATAAAGAGATCCCATTATGGGCAACTGTTGCCAACCGGACAAACCTGACCACAGAAATGGCAGGACTGTACCCCAGGCAGCCAGACTCTCCTCTCCTGCCTCAGACTCCTATCTCAAATTCTGACATAATCTGCATTCAATTACACAAAACATCTGTTATCAACCAGAATCCCGTGCCCTGGGGGGATGAGTACCTTTCCACCTGTTCATACCATTAAACTATGCTGACAGAAACTGGTCAGTGTCTGCAGGCAGTCTCTCAATTTAGATAATCACAAACAAACTCCTGAAATGAAGGCATTTAAAGATCTCCCAGTTTTGGAAAACACGTTGAAGATTGTGTGTGTGTGTGTGTGTGTGTACTAACAGCACATACAATAAACAGCTCAAGTAAAGCTGCCATGAAAATACAGCAGCATTCAGAGAAGCAGTTCAGCATGGATCGCCCATGGATCAGGTTCTACAGTAACCATGATGATTAATCTTGAATCAACAGCACTGGAAATATCTATGAGGGTGTTGTCGGGAAGGTTTAATAGAGGAGGACCTACTGTGAATGTGGGGACATCATCCCCTGGTTACCTGGACTGAAGGAAAAGAAGAAAACAAGCTGAACACAGTATCGTTTCCTCACCATGGCTGTCATGGACATACTCTCCTGAACTCTTGAGTCAAAATAAATTTTCTCCCTGTTGCCTCTTGTCAAGGTATTTAGTCACAGTAGGAAGTAACTAAGATAACACATATTATTAAAAATGTGCAATATTGGTATGCTCCTCCTTTTTGAAATACCAACAATGAATTTAAAACAAACAAAACCAAGTTATAATTCAAATAAATATCCTTTATTAAAGAAAAAAAGAATATTGTTAAGCACCAAAACTGTGTGTTACATTGCATGTACAATAAGAGAAAGGTGAGTGCAATTTTGGGTGAGCAAGTACTTAATTCTGAAGTCAGGAGTGTGAAATGTAAAAAAGAAAGCAACACAACAATTACGATGCAGAAAGATTGCACTAAAGAGCAGAAGGCAATAGTCAAAACAATTATTGTTGATTTCATAGTATTGCTATAAATGCCTGCGTAGTATTTTCTTTGTATTTTTAATACTTTAGAATGTTAACTGAGCATATTTAGGTATATGAATTTGCAAGAGATGGCATTTACAGTATGATGCAGACAATCCACTTAATGTAATGGTGGGCAAGCCATCCCGTAAAGCCAAGCACAGTGCACTAGTGTTTTGCTTCTGCCTTTATAACATTGCACAAAGCTAATAGTGGTGAGTCAGTTTGCCATTGTAATTTTCATTTACCCAAAACAGGTAAAAAGAAAAAAGGGTCAGTTTCTTTAGCCCCAGTGGGCTTTACTCATGCAAAATGATCTGCGGCCTTCCATTTCTCAATAAACTACATATTATGGTTTCACACTTGGCAATGCATACAGTACAGAGAGAGTTTCGACAAGGCAGTGTGGGGACTGTGTCAAAGACATTGTATGTTACTGTTATGGGATGCACTGTCCAACCTTTGTAACATCACACAAATGAAGGGAATCCCACTGGTAATTGTGAAGACTTTGTAGTAAAGACAATGGAATTTGCATGGAGAAACCTAAAACAACACATTACACCCTTTGATAGTTGACTATACAACATGCAAGTAAAAATGTCTTCTCCTGTTAAAACTCAACTCTAACACACACACCTTTTGCCTTCAAATTTCTCCAGGTCTTTCCTATACACTTTCAATGTCCCAAACTGAGTCACTCTTAACTGTAACTGAATCTACAAAAAAGAAATGAAACTTACCCTTCCTCTCAAAACAAATAATTGCTTTAGAATTGGTGTGGAACAGCAATCACAACGTTTAGCATGTCAACTCAGAGGTATTTTCTGTACCTGCACCTTGTAGTAACCCAGTAAATGTGCTTTGAAGAGGGGATATTTCTAAATTCGGAAATCAGTCTTACAAATGCTAAGTTGTGCGTTCACTGTGGGGAAAATGAAAATTTAAAATACTAGCATTTTTAACATAACTCAAGGAACATTTAGTAAACACACATTCTCTCTCACTCTGCCTCCCACTTTTAAAAACCTCTGTTTAAATACATGACAGCTTAGACAATGATATAAACTTATTCTGTATGAAAACTTTAAGTTACATTATATTAATAGGATAAAAAATACCATTGCTTCACTTTACAAAGCAATTAGGCAGAATTTTACTGTGCTTTAACAAAAAAGGAAAGTTGAGGCATGACCACTGATGGTCAGTAGAAGACATAAATGCTGAAGCTAAACATTAAGGTGCTTCTACTTTCTCACCTCTCTTCCATCTAAAACAAGTCTCAAGGGTCACTGCATCGCCAAGCACAAATAAAATGTTCAATACGTTTATTTAGCATTATATAATCATTTATATTCAGTGCAAAAAACAAAGAAAAATTAAAGTTTCCACTTCCGTCAAATGGCTGTCTTAGGCTGTCTGCAATGTTCTGCAGTTGGTCAGAATTTCTTGGTTATTCTAAGTAAAAAATACCAAGTTATTCTTGGTAAAAATATAACCTCAAAACTCCCTGATAGGTCTGCTAAAGACCCAAAGTAACTACATAGATTGGTTTCTGGTGATGAGCATATTACAAAGCAAGGCTAAAAGCACTGATTTAAATAAATACATCCTGTGAATGAGTTACAAAAAGAAGTCTCAGGGAGTATAGAGAATGCAACTGCATCAATGTGTGTGTCTCTGTGCGACATAGATGCTGCCTATGAGGAACTATCCCACTGGATTTGAAATTCTTAGCGTCGGGTGTCTATGGTACACTGTGCAATTTAGCACACTCTAGGACATACTGTGGCACAAAGTATTGTTCTACACACACGGTAGACTCAACAAAATTCATTACAGGAAAGGCCACCATACCAGTATCTCTTTTAAAAATGAAATTTGCATGATGTGTTGTGGTGCACATCTATAGTCCCAGCACTCAAAGAGGCAGAAGCAGGTGAATCTCTGAGTTCAAGGCCAGCTTTGGTTCTACAGAGTGAGTTCCAGGACAGCCAGGACTACACAGAGAAACCCTGTCTGGGGCTGGGGTGGTGGTGGTAAGTGCACTGAACAGCTAAGGAATGATTGTTTTTATGAACTTCATGCCCCCCCCCATCATTGCTTACCCCTAAAGTCCTTGTTCCCCAGCAATTTCTGATTGCTGAAATACAATCAGGACTTTAAGCCATCAGATATGCCTTTTTCTATGCACACTACATTGGCTATTAAATACAATTTTGGTTGTATTAGGGGGATATTTGAAATTGACATTCAAATACGAAGGATAACACTAAGCTAAGCATCCCCAAGTCATCTACTTGTTCCCTGTCTTCAATATACCGTATTTGGGAACAGCACAAACAAGCAGGGATCTAACTGTAGAAGCAGACTGGGAATTAAAAGCATTGACTGTGAGTGCCATGACAACTAAACATATAACCGTACTGTGAAGGCCAGAGCTCATAACTTCTGGTCTGCTGACTTCTTCCAAAATTAAGTCAAAGGTCCTTGTTTTATTAAGTGTCTAGGGAACTAAGATAGAGGAGGAAAACAACAACAAAAACTCACCAGGCTTATTGCCATTTTAATGGGGCTCTAAATCTAGTGATTTGCTGAACACCTGTATACTAGCTATTTTAAATTATATTATTGTGGATAACTCCAATGGTGTGTGATTTTATCAAGTAGAAATATTTTCTTGGGGGTTAGGAAGCAATACTACAGATGGAACAGGTCTTGAACCATACTCCTGAGCCACATTCGAGTATAAGAACTAGAATCCTGAGGCAGGGAAACCAGCATGTTGGGAGAAAACCATTTGCTTGAAAGTGAGCTGAAGGGTCTGGTGCTGTAGCCATGGATTGTCAAGAATAAAGTCATTCATGGAAAAGGCCAGGAGTTTGGTGCTAAGACTGATTACAACACATTGAACATTATATTCCATATTTTCCTAAAGTTTAAAAGAAAAATAGGCTGAAAAAATAGTTCAAGGGTTAAGAGCATGAACTGCTACTTCAGAGTATGTAAGTTTGATTCCCAGCAACCACATGAGAGTCTGTAAATCTAGCTCCAGGTAAGAGCCTCTGCGACCATACATAATTTTAAAAAAATGAATCTTTAAAAACAGGCAAAAATGGAGACAGCCACCTTGACACCAGCTGGAATCCCCACACTGGAGAGGGAGAGGCAGGAGGAACACTGCAAATCCAGTATGCATGGCAAGTTCCAGGCCAGCCAGGGCTCCTACAAAAAAAAACCGGGTCAAAAAAAAAAAAAAAAAAAAAAAAAAAAAAAACAGGATAAATACAATACTGATACATGGATCTCTAATATTGGAAGTGTATAAATGACGGGTGACTTTTAGGAAGTTTGTAAACTGCAAATTTTCCAAATATTTTTATCTAGCTAATGACTCTTTGGGTTAAACACATGCTGATGCTTTACTGGAGTACACAGGACCCATCTATCACCTTGGGGTGAGGTTTGTGTATCAGAGTTGTTTTCATTGTGCCAGACGAGATATAGGAATAGTGCTAGGACTAAAACCAATATATAAATAAAATGCTACAGAAGCTACCAGTCTCATCAATAAACATGCTATGGATACTTAAGTGCAAAGATTTGGTTTACTTTAACCCGTTACCAGAATTTTTTCCCATAATGAATTTAAAGAAAAATCTCTCTTAAAAATATCAAGAAAAGGAGGAGACCATGGTGGACAGTGAGGTGCTTTCAGGGCTAAGCTGGGGAAGAGCTCTCTAGGAATGAAGTGCTTTTTGTTATTTTAATCCCTCCCTATAAAGCCAAGATCTGTCTTCAGCAGCAGCACACACTGCAGCATGCTGTAAAATGGCTCCAGCACATCTACCCTCATGCATGTCCACACAATCCCATTGACAAGCCATGCCAGCTCCATTCAGAAATGAACCCTAAGTCAGCATTCAAACTAAGTATGTACGTTTAAAGATTTAGTGACAGCAACAAATGCTCCCCTAAAGCCCTATCCAAAGACTAAGAAAATAGCAAATGCCAGTGGGAGGCTTACAGGATTGGCTATCTTCTGGACCTTTACTGAACACAAGTGCTCTTCACCATGGAGCACAACAATAAAAACTTAAAACTGGTGCATGATATAGTTGAACATCTGTATCCCTACTATTGAATCCTTGTTTTGATTCTCAATAGGAAAGTCATGAAATATAGTAATCAAGCAGTAGTTCAAACAAAAAGACTAAAAATAATTTGAAATGTTATCAAATTATGAAGCATTGCTCCTCATAAACGGTGCACATAAAATTCAAAACTATTCTAAATTCAGAATTATGAAACACTATTTTAAAGGCATGGAAATTTTAACTTCAAACTCTTACAAAATGTAAGATGGTGGCCTCTTAAAAATATGCCTTGTTAAATGTGTCATGTTTGGTGCACACATTAATGGGTATCTCCATTAGCTTCTCAGATAGTGAACATCTCTGGAGATGGAAAATGTGGAAATCTTAAGTGTATACCATGTTGTTTCCTTTTAATTCCTGACTGAAACTACCAGGACAAATGTCTTCTTTAGCATGTCACGCTATTCTAGAAGCTGATGTGGAAGCAGCTGTACTTTAGCAAATATCTTCTCCATTCACTGAAGATGAATCCCAAAATAGCTCACACAGTAGAACTCTGCCAACCCAGTGTTCTTCTAGTTCACAGTGACTCCTAGGTGTAACTGGCCACTGTGAGATCACGAATGGGCAGATAGGAAGAGAAGGTGTGTAAGAGATAGCCGTCTTCAGGAGGCCTTCTCTCGGCAGTCAGGAACATTGCACATTTAAAACTGACGTCACCACTACCAGTGACAGTGACTGAACAGTAATATCTTCCAATTGTGCTTCCTTGTTTTCACACGACTTTGCCAATGTACTCAGGGTCTAATGGAATCCAATATGGGACCAAGAGCTTAAACTTTTCCCCCAAAAGAATCAGACCCAGTCTTCATCCATGGGTATTTTTCTTCTTTCTGTTAAGTTACCTGTTAGTAAACAAAATAACACAATGTGTTAGGACAAAATGCTTCTTAAATATAGGGTATATATCTGTAATGAATACTATTTTTTTCTTTTAATAGTCACCTATACAGTTTAGGATTTCCTTCAAAAATGCCTATAATTATTTAGTTTTATTTTATGTGTATGAGTGTTTGCCTGGGAATGTATATGCACCATGTGCCTATAGTGCCTGTGGAGGCCAGAAGAGGGCATCAGATCCCCTGTGGCTGCTGCCATGGAGATACTGGGACTTGTACTCAAGGCCTCTGGAAGAGTTTAGTATAGCTACCTTGAATAGGGAGATAAAACATATGCACCATTTCAAAATATAATTTGGAATATAACTGGGCTTGGCAGCACAGGCCTTTAATCCCAGTACTCAGGAGACAGAGGCAGGGGGACCTCTGTGAGTTCAAGGACTGCCTGGTCTACAGAGTGAGTTCCAGGACAAGGCTCCAAAGCTACACAGAAAAACCTTGTCTTGGAAAAAATGGGTTGGGGTGGGGTGGAGGGGGCGGCTACAAGCAGTAGACAATACAGCAAGAGCAAGCACTGAGAGGAAGATGATATGCAAGTATATACTGTGAAAGGCAATTTGAATCTCTGAATACTAACCCATTAGTTACAAATACTGATATTTATCATCGTCTACATTTCTTAAAGGAAATAAATACCAGTGTTTATAACAAGTGAGATAAATAGAAATAACAGAAAACGCCAGTCAGAATCCACAGTGGCTGAACTAAGGGTTGGATAACACACAACCACATACTATAAGGAATGTGATAGAAACCTTGTGAAGCTTGAGACAGACACTGATGCAGAGGGACCTGACAGCATTTCCTCCTTTCCTGGGTCCAAGGGGAAAAGGTAGGAGTACTTTAGTAGTAATTAATGCTCTCATTGACTTGGTCACATTTGATTGTGCCAAGTTGTCAAAAGTCATATATGATCTTGTGGATTACATACCCACTTAGTTAGATCAGAGTCAAAGACAGGATTCCACACTTCTTAGTAAGTCCCTTAGGCTATTTTTAAGATAGTCAGGATCACTATATACCTTCCCATCCAAAGATAATTATCCTGGATATATCCATGCTAGAAAATCACTTAAACATAAGCTATCTTCCACTTCCTTTAGACGGGGGTCTGTAGTCTTGGCTGTCTTGGAGATCACTCTGTAGACCAAGCTCTACTGAACTCATAGAGATCCTCCTGCTTCTGCCTCTGAGTGCTGGGATTAAAGATGTGTGCCACCATACCTGGCTTTAAAAAAAAAAAAAAAAAAAGCTATCTTGCATATATACTTTCTAGAAAGAGTGTTTCCTCTTGGGGTTTGCTTTTGGTTTTGGTTTTTGACATGGAGTTTTGATGTGTAATCGTATCTGGCTTCAAAGTCATGATCCTTCTACCTCCTGAACATTGCCTAGGTATTTATTGCAGAACTGCACAACCAAGTCTAGTTAAGTCTTCCTGTTTGACTAAATACCACAGAGTCTATCAGAAAACAGAACATGTTACATACTCTGTACATTTTGCACATGCGATCTTATTTCAGCTGAACCCATTGCCAATCCTTTAACAGCATGTGACACAATTGCTTTATTCTTTTAACATAGTATAACCTGTGCAATTTAAAAGCAGCAGAGAGCTTGGTGGCACACACCTTTAATTCCAGCACTCAGGGAGACAGATGCCAAGTGGGAAGAAGGGAGGCAAAGACTACCCTGATCTATATATCCAGTGCCAGACCAGCTAAAGCTACATGGTGAGGCCCCATCTTTAAAAAAAAAAAAAAAGAAAAAGAAAAAAGAAAAGAAAAGAAAAGAAAAGGAGATAAGCAAAAAGCAGCAGACTGCAAGTGTTAGAATGTGTATGTAACCAAATACAATCTTACTGTGCAGAGGACTCAAGATGATTATAACTTGTATTTATAAAAGTAGCTATAATGTTTATATGACAACAAAGGAACAGTAGTATGACTGAATAGTTTTAAGTATTTAGAAAGCCATGTAATAATTATAAGCAGCTAAGAAAGGATCAAATTTCAATATGCCTAATTTAAATAGTTCAGTTAAAAAGGCTTTTCTGTTCAAGATAAAAATAAGACTGTCTCTTCACTTGGAATATAACTATACTGCAGATATTTTTAATGAGCAAGATAGAAAAAAAAAAAAAATCACATAGCGTTTCTATAGCCATTGCCTCTGAAAGGAGCTTTCCGGGGCTGGAGAAAGGCTCAGTGATTTAGTGCTCTTGACACTCTGCAAGAGGCCCTGAAATGAGTTCCTAGCACACATGTTGGGGCTGACAACTGCCTGTAAGAGGATCCAATGCTCTTTTCTGGTCTCTGTAGGTAACACATCCATGTACACAAACCTGATGCAGAAACACATGTAGAAACAGAAATAACAAAACACTTTCCTGACCAGGTATGATGAGTACCATGAGGCAAGAGAATCACAAAGAGTTCCAGACCAGCCTGGATACAGACAGACCCTACCTTAAAAGGTACATACAATAAAGAAAACAATGATATAAAAACAAACCAATAATACAGAATGTGGCCTTTAGAAATATACCCGCAAGAGGAACTGCTGTATAAAGGAACAGGGGTACTAAGCCAATCAAATATCCAAATATCCAGGTGGAAATAAGATAATGTTTTTGAGTTAAAACCTGGAATTTATGTTATCTATTATCCACACTGAAACTGAGCCATATACTGAACAGGCCACAAGCAACAAGACATGCTGGAGCTCATCAGCCAATGTAAAAGCTGGATACTGGCTCATGCTGACAAAAGATAGCAGGTGGTTTACCTGCTAGTTCTCCCAGTCTGTGCAAGGTAAAGCTTCATCCTCCTCCTCTGACTCTGGGGATGCTTCTTTAATTCTTCTTAGAGCTTCATGGATGCTCCTCGTCAGAGGATCTGTGTCAGGCAGGAGTGTGAAGGATTCTCTCAAAACCTCCTTCTGAACCTTCTTCAATTTTACCCCTTTCCTTATCTGTGCCAAGATATTATTACTATCATCTTCATCAGGAAAAGGAGGCAGAGTCCGCTGTTCAACCTTTTTCAGATGAAAACTACCACGCTTCAAGGATGCTAACACTTCATCCATGGGTGAACTCACTTTGGAAAACAAAATCAACAATCAGAGTCAGGATTATTGTATTTAATGTCAAACTCTGTGACCTCCAATAAAGCTGGGAGATGGACTTGATACAATGGGTGAGATTCCCAAAGGACCCCCCCCCCATATTGCATCCACCACCAGCCCAAAGTAAGGCAGTGTTTGGTTACATTTAATTAATTAATTTGTTTTCAGGGCAGGGCTTCTCTATGTGTATCCCTGGCTGTCCTAGAACTTGCTCTGTAGACCAGGCCAGCCTTGAACTCATGAGATCCACCTGCTTCTGCCTCCTGAGTGCTGGGATTAAAGGCATGCATTACCAAACACCTCAGTGGGTAACATCTTTGCTGTGCCCAAGATGAGGATCTGAGTTCAAATTCCAACATCCATATAAAAGCTAGACACAGTGGTGCATACCTGTAATCCCAGTACTTGGGAAGTACATGGTGACAGGTGGTGCCTGAGGGGTTGAAGTGGGGTCACTGACAAGCTAGCACACACACACACACACACACACACACACACAAAATTTAATATTGGTTCACTGTTGCTTTTTCAGTTACTTCACATCTGAGATTCTATTCAGATTGTGGTATGAAATATTTTACTGGATATTCTCAGATTAGTATGTAATATGCTCTGTATTATTTGCCCCATGCAAACTGAAAGTTCCTCAAAGGCAAAAAAATGTGTTATTTTTAGAAATGACTTTATTGAGGCATACTGGACATGTGATAAATTTCACATAACCTCCTGCTCTTCTTTGTCTTTTTATATAACACTCTTAAGTCTTCAATATTAAACTGTGATCTTAATGGCTTCGCCCCATTTCTTATATATGATGTCGTCATCATCATCAATAGCATATGAGCTCCACCACTAAGCTAGACTCTCCATTCAGGTAGTTTACCATTCAAGTTAAAAATCAGAGTTGTTTCTCCTAACACTAAAAGTACTACCTAACACATAGGTCTAATGTCACTTGGATTTTTTTTTTTTTTGGAGGGGGCTTTTCTAAGGCTTTGGAGACTGTCCTGGAACTAGCTCTTGTACACCAGTCTGGTCTCAAACTCAGAGATCCGCCTGCCTCTGCCTCCCGAGTGCTGTGACCTTGAATGCCTGTCAAATCATGTTCAAAAACAATCTTTAAGGCTTTGCAGCAACACAGAAGTCAATACAAAGCTCCTTCCCTGGGCGTTGTGTTACACCAGAGTCAGATAGGTCCTGTTCACTCACCTCTCCTCCTCTGTAAGCCTTCAGCAGTCTTTCTGAGCTTCTTCCGGGCACTGACCAGCTGGCTGCTATCAAAGAGCTGTGCTGACGGGGCGCTGGCTGACTTTGGGATCCTCTTCTCACTGCCTTCCTTTCTAAGTGTATCTTTCTCCAGTGTCTCTGAATTGGTGGTGGCACCATTGTCCTTTGCAACAGGCAGAGGGGGGGGTGGGGGTGGAGGTAGTGGAGGGGGAGGGGGAGGTGTTGGAGGAAGAGGGGGTGGGGGTGGATCCACTGTAGCAGAACACGGTTTGAGGTCATTACTAGTCAAAAGTGGAAGCGAGGAGGGGGGAGGCAGTTCAGAGGTAACAGCATTGGGAGGTAATGAAGTGGCTTCAAGTTGTACTGACAAAGTGTCTTCAAGATGGACAAGGCTCTGGGGTCTTGCTGTCTCTGAAGACTCAAGCTTGCTTCTTTCTTCCCCAACCTCTGTCTTCTCCTCTCCTTGCAGTACTCCTGCTAGAGAGGCACACTGCTGGTCACAGGGCACAGGACTCGCTGGACTTCTTCTGGCATGAGCTGCTCTTAGTCTGGTTGATTTAAGGGTGACCTGCCCAGGATACCTCTAAAATACCAGAATTATTGTGTGAGTATGTTATATTAAAATAATTGCCAACCAATGCTTAGTGATTCTGCCCTCTAACACAATGTTATTTTGGCTCTTTCCTGACTGTTTCCCCAAGGGACAGGAAAAAAAGACAACTAGAATACCTGTGCCTAAACTTTCAATACCTTTCAAACCATTATCACCAGCTCTTTTATTGCCTGCTATCAGATAATAAACCTTGTTCCTTCTTACCCAATTAAGCCAATTGCTTAAAAGTGCCATATGCAGGGCACTGGGGTGCATTTGCCTTTAATCCCAGAGGCAGGTGGATAGCTATGAGTTTGAGGCCAGCCTGGTCTACATACATTTCGGTCTAGCCAAGGCATCATTATTATTATTATTATTATTATTATTATTATTATTATTATTTTCAAGACAGGGTTTCTCTGTGTAGCTTTGGAGCCTATCCTGGCACTCGCTCTGGAGACCAGGCTGGCCTCCAACTCACAGAGATCCGCCTGCCTCTGCCTCCCGAGTGCTGGGATTAAAGGCATGTGCCACTAACGCCCGGCCAAGGTGTTATATATTATATAATATGATATAAATATATCATAAGCAAACAAGAAAACCAGCCACATGTCTTTAACTCTTCAATGGAAAAAACAGTATATAAAACTCAAGGCAGTCTCTATCTATCTATGACTGGTACTTAGCAGGGAGCCAAGAAACTATTATTGTTTATTTTCAAATTCTTATATAAAAAAGTTGAAACCTTTAAAAGGGGGAGTGCAAGGCACTTTTAAAAATGCCTGATGATTTTATGATAGAAGGGAGAGAGAGCTGTAGTATTGGCCTTTTTTTTTTTTTTTTTTTGGTTTTTCGAGACAGGGTTTCTCTGAGGAGCTTTGGAGCCTATCCTGGCACTTGCTCTGGAGACCAGGCTGGCCTCTAACTCACAGAGATCCGCCTGCCTCTGCCTCCTGAGTGCTGGGATTAAAGGCGTGCGCCACCAACGCCCGGCTAGTATTGGCTTTTTTTAGATTCAACAGAATCCGGGCTTTCTTGACACTTTGTCCATTGTTTACATTCCTGAAGCTGTACACCAGGGGTCAAAGACTATTACTGTCAGACTCAGTCACAGGAAGGGGAGCCAACCAAACTACTATGGCTGGACTACATTCTAAACAGAGAGAGTACTATGGCTCTCTCTGAAAAGCAATGAAAACTAATCAATAGAATGTTTCTATTACCTGCTTAAATGTTCGAAGTCTATCCAGGGTCCTTTGTCTCTCTTGGCTAACCCAGGCACTTTTTCTTTCCTCTTCATCATGTAATTTTTCTCTCTTCTGGTAAAATAAAACAAATGCACCTTTGATCCCAGCACACGGGAGGCAGAGGTAGGAGGGGCTCTGAATCTGAGGCCAGCCTGGTCTACAGAGTGAATTCCAGGACAGCAGAGCTACGTACAGAGACCGTCTCAAAACAAAAAAAAAACAAAACAAACAAACAAAAAAAGGAGCAGTGGGGCTGCAGAGATGACTTAGTCAGCAGAGTTCATACTGCAAACCATGAGCCCCAAGAAGCGATGTAAAAGCCATGTTCCTAGAGCTGGCTAGCTAGTCTAGTCAAGCCAGTGAACTGATAGGTCACAGACAGGTGCAGTGGAAAGTGACTGAGAAGGACAACTGACATTGACCTCTAGCATCCAAGACAGCTCCCATGTGCATGTGTATATCACGCCCCCCCACACACAGAGCCAAGACATCGTGATGCACATTAATTACAAGACAGAGAGAGACTGTTGTGAACAAGGCCAGCCTAGTCTATCAGAAAACTAACAAGAAAACATTCCACAAACATGCAAGAATTAAGAAAATATCAGAATACTTTCCTTAAACAGTACCTTAATGAAACCTTAACCATTCTAAAAGGAACAAAATATATTTAGAAATAAAGAAGTGAGCAGCAGAGAACTGCTGATAAGCAATGAACTTAACTCTAACCGAATCTTAACAACTGAGAGACATGAATGACCAAAGTAAGTTTTCTGATATTTTCCTATCCACATCCACAGCATACTGAATGTAAAGGGGAGCCGTGAGAAAGCAGGACAGCAACAGTTGCTTTCCTTTCCTCAGCCCAATGCACTGATCCCAAAGCCCAATGAATCTATAAAATTCGAATAGTTCTTTCAGAGTCATGATTAAGGTCTCTTGCTAAAAGTAGCAACAATTAATTCTGGAATTCATTTATTCTCCTATGATGATCATGTATCACTTTATATATTATACACAATAAGGGTTTTCAACTGATGAGACAGACTCTGCTTGTCAAGAGGTTAAATCAAAACTTTATAATAAACTTAGATTTTTTTTTTCCTAGACAGGGTTTCTCTGTGTAACCACCCACTGGGATCAAAAGTGTGTGCCCCCACCACCCAGCATTTAACATCTGATGTATGATCAAAATTTATACAGACATAAAAAATACAGAAAGGATAAAACTTACTTCATACAAGAACAGAAAAAGTCATGTAATTTGTTAAAATATTCAAACAAAGTAGTAAGAAAGAGTATGTTTAAGAACAACTAATTCCATGTTCTCCATCATTTACTTATTTATAAGTCAACTGCACACATCAGGAAAAGGGTGGGAATTGCCTCCTTTTTCTTTTATCTCATGCTAGGTCAGGGTTTTACTGAACCACAATACTTTGGTTTTGATACAAGGTCTCACAATAGAGTTCAGGTTGGCCTTGAATTCACAGGCATGCATTATGATCCGCTAGAGTGGGGATTTCTCCATAGAGGCAGGAAGGATCACACAAGTTTAACCAAAATGGTATCTGTACGCTGACATACCTTCTTCCTTAGATAGGGAAGCCCAGAACTGCTTAAGAACATCGAATTAAGACTACACTCACCTACTGGCCCCTGCTCTCCACACTTCAGTTCCACAGCTAAAATGTATACCCTCCAAACTCAGCTGATTCAGTCAAATGAAGGAACTTCCCCATCCTAGTGGACATCTGGCAGCCACCTGGAATATGGGAGTCAGCTTGCATTCTCCTACATTCAGATACATGCATGAATTCACAAGAGAACAGACTCTGAAGTTTGTAGAGGAGCAATGAACAGATTTCTCTGCTTACAGAAAAGTGTTTTCTACAGCACTGGTGTTGAGATGGTTAGGGAAAAACTGTATTATCCAAGAGACTTGGATGGAGCTTCCATTGTGAGCCTGCATCTCTATATGTGAGTCAGATGGACAGAGTTCAGAAGAATGTATTAATCATACTGCTGATCTGTCAGCTGGTATATTCAAAGTCAAATCTGTTAGTATTTAAATCCGGCTGGAGAGATATGAAGTGGCAAGGCTGTTTGGGGAAGTATAATGTTTATAACCTAAAACCTAATGTAGTAAGTACTGTCTCTCAGAGCATAGCTCCTAGCTGGGCTTTGGTGGCACATGCCTTTAATCCCAGCACTCGGGAGGGAGAGGCAGGAGGATCTGTTGAGTTCGAGGCCAGCCTGGTCTCCAGAGCAAGTCCCAGGATAGGCTCCAAAGCTACACAGAGAAATCCTGTCTCGAAAAACCAAAAAGAGCATAGCTCCTAAATGGTAGGCCTGGAGTACACGTCAGTTTCCTCCTTTAATATCAGAACACTTTGGTTAAACCACTCTAGAAAATTAAACCCGCTCACCTGTGAGGGACCTGGAGAAAGGCTAACATAGGAGACTGGGTTCTGTTAGCATCAGTTAGGTGCCAGTCACCTAGGGATACTTAGAATACAGAAATTCAAGATTCCTTATGTGTGTATGTGTGTGGGGGGGCGGGGGGGAAATGTTGGGGATGAGGAGTAACCACAATACCAGTGGAGGTCAGAAGATAACTTCAGAGTCAGTTCTTTCCTTCCACTGTAGGACCTGAGGCATCAACTCAGGTCATCAAACACATGGTAAGCACTTTTATTCCCTGAGTCATTTTGCCAGCCCAGTTATAAAATAATCTGAGATGGGTGGTGGTGGCTCACGCCTTTAATCCCAGCACTTGGGAGGCATAGACAGATGGATCTCTGTGAGTTCAAGGCTAGTCTGATCTACAGAGTGAGTTCCAGAACAGCCAGAAACCCTGTCTCAAAAAAAAAACAAAAGCCAAAAACAAAAAAGAATCTATGGGGAGATTGGATATGGCACAGTCAGAACATGGAGAGTGTGGTTGATATACCCAGTGGGACTCCATTGGAGAAATGATTAATGATTTTTCCTTTGCCAGTAAGTATCAATTGCAGACGGCTTCTTGGTTGGTGTGGGACCCAAATCCACTCCCCCACCCCCCAATGCCGAGACCCTCTCTGGCTTGAGCCTGTGCGTGTCTTGTGCATGTTGCCCCAGTCTCTGTCCACTACTAAGTGCATCCTTCTGTTAGATCTAGAAGACAGTTTCCTTACAGTCATCCAGAACCTCTGGCTCTTAGAATCGTGCCATCTCCTCTTCCAGACAGGCTGCTGACCTTTGAGGGACTTTATTGACAACAGTCATGTAGGACTGAGTGTTCCAAGACCCTCACCGTTCAGTTGTGGGACTCTGTTAATTTCCATCTACTAAGAAGCAGCAGCTTCTCTGAGGAGGGCTGATCAAGATACTCATCTGTACCCCAGCCTGCTATGAGCTTTTAACATTTTCAGACAGTTTACTAGGTTCCCATGGCTGAAGCCACATCTCTCCTCAAATATTGACTCCTCATATGTCAGTTTCCGAGGTGCTGATAAGATTACAGGTGTATGTCACCAGGCCCACCTTAAGCATGTTTTTGTTGTCTTGGTTTTAAAACAGTCTTTCAATGTAGCCCATGCTGGCCTCAATTTTTCAGTAATCTTCCTGCCTTTGTCTGCCAATTTCTACAACTATAGTTGTGTACCACCATATAAATCTGTGAGAGATTTTTTTTTTTCTGGCCATTTTCTTGTTATTATTTGTCAGGGTTGGTAGTGGTCAGCAAGTAAACTTCGTGCTTTCTTTAGTTCATTTTTTGAGTTAATATTAGATGTTAGACTACCTTAGACCTGCATATTTAATTTGCATGGTTTCTATGGAAAACTGTTAAAACAATAAAATTAATCTATTAGGAAGTTATATTTTAACTAATATATCACCCAAGAAATTCCAATAAAGATAACTTTGGCTTCAAAACAGATTTTGAGAGACAATAACCAATTGTAATCTAAGGCTCTGGCACTCACAACCTGAGGCTTATGAGCCAAATGAAGCTTCGTGCATCCAAGGACAGCTCTAACTAAGATCCAACACAAAAAATGTAAACTTACAGCATTATGAGATGGAGGGAGATTATGGTATGTTTGAGTTTGATTTTCTTTAAGATGATTGAAAATGGACATGCCTGAAACCAACTCTCATTTCCTCTGAGCTATAAATGTTTTAGAAAGAGTTACTTTGCTACTGTTTTCCTCTGTCTGATCAGGTATTCTATCTAATGCTGACATCTGGCCAATTTTTAAGATAACATTTATCTCTTAGATTCCTGTAGTTTTTTATTTATTTTACCTCTTTGTTTTCAAAAAAATTCTTTAAGGTACAAATAAATTACTTCATCCACTAAAATACTGGCATTTTATCAGAAACCAGAATAGTCACATAAAATGGACAAATTTGAGAGTAGACTGTCAGTAATCAAGCTAATAAATAACCCAGGAAATAAATGAGCAAGGGCATCCTTACTCCCCATCTCATCCCTTGCCTAACAAGACACAGCACTTTCTGACCCACAGACATAGATGAAAAACAAAGGGCATTAATTAATTTGCTTTTTCTGGCTTCTGAGAGAAAGAGTCATATAGTTTAAGGGTAAGTGACTGATCCCCATGTAATTATTATAATAAGGGGCAGTTTTAGTTCAACTGTGCAAAATTAGCTCAAAGAACTAAAAATGAACACAAGTCAACTGACCTTTGGTGTGATGCTAAAGAAAGAAATACAAAAACCTGGAGAACTCACTGTATGCAGGTGTGACGAAGTGCAATAATGGCAAGGAAGGAAATTCCTAATGTAGCTCATATAAAATAAACTGGTTACTCTCAGCAACCTAGGAAAACATGACATCACACTTGCCAAGAAGCTAGAGCTTTCTGCCAAACTGGAAAAGGCCAAGTGTGTCCCCCTCATCCATTCTTTCTCATATGATAATGGAAGTCCTACACTAATGCCGTAAGACAAGAAAAGGAAATAAAGGTATACACATTGGCAAGAAATAAAACTTTGTTGAAATCTACGTAGAAAGCAGAGAAGAAAACCAGCATAAAACAGTAGAACATTAGAACAGAGATGCTGTGAACAATTCCTAGTCCACCAACAAGAATTTGAAATTAAATATGAAATACTGCTAATCCCCACAAAGACAAAATCTACCATAAGATTTAAATGAAAAAAAACTATAAAACTCTGATAAATGAAATAAGATAATTAAATAGTCCTTCAGTAAAAATAGATTACTTCTCAATTTGATCTAGCAGTTAAAATATCTAGGCTAATAAAACAGTCTCCAAACAGATCCATGGAGACAAAAAAAAAAAAAAACTTCTGACCTTTGACTAAAGGGCAAAGGCAGTACAGTGGAACAGTTTGTTAAACAAATGGTGCTGAAGCAAGGGGACATGAACATGCCAACAGTGAATGTAGACAATGACCTTAGACATTCCATGAAATTTAACTCAAAACAGGTCGTAGATCTAACTGTAAAATGCAAAGCATAAAACAACAACTAGTGAGTTGGATATTGCTCAAAGTAAAAACTCTGGAAAGGAGTGTTTAGAGAATGAGAGATTAAGCAAAAGGCACCTGATAAAGGACTCTTCAAACTCAATGAGAACAGAAAAGCTCAATTCTGAGTGAACAACAAAAGCCAGAGTGCTGGTACATGCCTGTAATCTGGGAGGTGGAGGCAGCAGGATCAGCTACACAGGAACTTTATATGTTCCACATGAAATCCTATCAAAACCAAACAACCCAAAAAAAGATAAAAAAGCCTGAGCAATGAATCTGAACAAGTACTTTACTAAAGAAAATACATACTCGGGCAGATGAGCATATGAAAACCATGCTCAACACCATGTCATTTAGGAATATGAACTAAAACAATTAAGATACTACTGTCCATTAGAACAGCTACCACAGTGACAAGAGCAAAAGCTGGAGAGGGTACGACAATATAGAACTCTCATTTATTGCTGAGCTAAGTGCAAATGAGCACATTTCATCTTACACTACAGTTCAACAATCAAAACCTTAAATCTGCCTTACTAAGTGAAATATGTCAACCTGCATATGCTACACTCTGTACATTACAAATATACACAGGGCAGTGAAACGTGAACCTGTTTGACTCTCAGTCACAGATACATGACATTTTACATCTGAGAATATCTGTAGACTTCATAACACCAGGAAAGAACTTGAACATAATCAATAGAGTTTGGCCAGCAATGATGTGCCAACACTGACTTGCTGCTAACTGTAACACATGTACAACTTTAGTAGTAGCAGAAAGCTGGAGGTGCAGCTAAGAGTGGCACATGGGAACTATTGTACTTACCATTAATTTTTTCCTAAACTGGATCTCTCATTTATTCAAATGTTCATTCATGCCAGGCATTGATGGCGCATGCTTTTAATCCCAGCACTTGGGAGGCAGAGACAGATCTCAGTGAGTTTGAGGGCAGCCTGGTCTACAAAACAAGTTCCAGGACAGCCAGGACTGCTATACAGAGAGAGAAACGCTGTCTCCAGGGGGAAAAAAAAACAATAAAACAAAAACAACCAATCAAACCAAACCAAAAAAACTAAGCAAACATTCATTCATTCATTCAAATATACATATTCACAGTCACTAACATCTAGTGACCTAATTCTCATACTCTGGGATTTTTCCCCTTTCAGACACATGTAAGGTTTTGTTCCAAGTCTCTAAGAGTCCTGACTTACTAGTTGTGCTGTGTGATGGGCTCTATACTCATCTTCACTCTGAAAACGCTGCTGGAACTTTTCATTGTGTTTTGCAATACATATTTCCTAGGGGGGGAAAAAAACATAAAAATGTGTTTTAATTAAAGTGAGACTTAGATGGAGACAAAGTTTATTCAGAAGCACAGAGTAATGAGGACTAGCTCCTCCCTCCTTTACTACAGACCACTAAAACCCATCTCTACATGTCCTGAGGTTCAGAACTGGCCACTAAGATCTGTCTAACCTAACAGCAGTACCTCAGTCCACTCTCTTAATACTCCAAACTCACTAAGTAAGACTAATCAGAACATTTTAGCTGTCCTTCCAAATGCACTGCAGGGGACCCTGTAGCCATGTCCTTTAGTGAGTCACCCTCAGAATAGGTGGAATGCAGTCAACACTGGCTGCTAGGATATATGTCAGAGGTCAACTCTAAGAGAAACACAAATGTTTAATGCAAGAAGCTGAGAATAGGTAATGGCTACTTGTTTTAAAAATGGAAGCAATGATGACAAATCATCACAATCTCAATGAAAACAAGGTTTCCATACCTTTTTATTTCTGAGGTAGGCTTTCTTGGCTGAGACACGCCCCCTTCTTGCTTCCAGCTGCCGTGCCTTCTGCTGCAGTTTCTGGAGCTCCTCTCTCTGTGCATGCACAGACGCCACCATCTCTTCCTTCTCCAGCATGGCTTCCATGCTTTCGTAAGTGTCATAGTATACCACTTCATCTCTCTTTTCTGTCACAGAGTTGTAGTTAGGAACATGCTTCTTTATTAAACAGTGATTAAAAGGAGAGGAAATAGACCTCAGGCTAAATTATACAAAATTTCTAAAATGTCTGGTACACAGTAAGTGTTCAATAAGTAAAGACCTAACTCTTCTACACACTCCACCCATGCAAAACTGCAAAAATTCTGATTTTAAGTGTAGCATTACACTTTAACAAAGTAGGTATGCTACAAAAATACTCAAAAGCAACATGTAGCCCAAACTGCTGAATTCACAAAATCATTCCAGTTCAAGGACTACTTTAAGTCTTAGAAAAACAAAGTTGTGATCCATGTATACTTTCTCCATGTCCTCTACCTTTTGTGGACGTCTGTGGTTAAATGCACAGCATACCTGTTATAAGTCTTTTGATGCTCTCCAGTTGTGCAGTCAATAGTAATTCTTCACACTTCAAGATTTCAAACTGTACTTCATACAACTGAAGCTGCAGATCATAATAATCAGCCTCTAGCTGATCCAACTGAGCGATAGCTTCTGTACCGCCCTGTAAACTTTGCATCTGCAGTGAAAATAGTAACACTACTATTAACTGGTGCAGACAAGGAAAAAAGTCAACTGGATATTAATACTAATCCATTATGGTAAGTCCCAAAAGCAACTGCTTTAAGAAAATAAATAAATAAATAAGTACCAGGCAGTGGTGGCACATGCCTTTAATCCCAGGCATAAAGAATGAGCTCCAGGTCAGCCAGAGCTACACAGAGAAACCCTGAAGAAAAACAAAACACTTCTAAGCTGGGTGTGGCACTGACAGTCCAGAAGACCACTTAAGGCCAGGAGTCTAAGGCTAGCCTGGAGAACACAGGCCTAATGGCAGCTGCTTGAGCTACTAGGGACTTGATGTTAGAATGTCAACTCAAGGCCAGCCTACTAAAGAGTTTGTTCAAGGTCAGTCTGGACAACTTACAAAGACTTTTATCTCAAAGTAAAAAAGTAAAAGCAGCCAGGACATCTCAGCTCTAAAAGTCTGCACCTCTACAATATCACTATGTAGGTTCACTTCCACTATCGTAAGGAGGTTGGGGAAGCAGCGATACTTTTAAAAAATATACACAGAACCAAGAAGAAAGAGAGAGGTCACCTCCTAAACACAGGAAAAACCAAAACCCCAAACTCCAAACCAGTAGTAAGTCACAAACAGTGCAAAAAGTTTTAACGTAACTTACTACAAAGCATACTTTTAATGTTTATACCACAGCTCATTCATATTTAGGGTAAATGTGTTATTATCTTGACACAGATCCCAATGACTTCTCAGCTCAAAAGCAGACATTAAGTCATAGAGTTCCCTTTCCACAAAAACACACAAAATGTCAAGTGGGAAAAGCCAATTACCCCCCCCCACACACACACACACACACAAACACACCCCATTTCTCTGTTGCAGCAAAGCTTCCTGGATCGGCTGGCTGGAGAGTAAGGTGAGTATATGTTAAGTACATCAGTCTAAAAGAATTGCTTTATATGTGAAAAGTCCTTGCAGTCAATGGATGATAGTCACTGTTATTTTTGGTAACAAAGTCTGTTATCTTTAACAGAAATGAAATTGGGACCCTAGATTGGGCCTAATCAGGGAAACCCAAAATTTCTGGGGATAATTTTTGAAGTGGTAGATGTCTTGTATGAGGTCTGTGTGGCTGGCCCTGAAGAGAGGGGTTCTCCCCTTTATCATATTCGAAGTTATTAACTACAGAGAAAGTAGGATTCAGAAATTGCTTCCCAACACTATTACTTCCAGCAGATGCAGCTTTCTCAGGAGCTTTCATTGCCCCACAAGGACCCCTGCATGGACATCATTGTGCCCTGGAGATCCTGGTAGCACAGGAGAAGTGGCCCCAGGCTTCAAGTGACTTTGCAGAAGCAACTACCAACGGCCAGAGTAGAAGAACAGAAAGGAATTTTTAAAGCCTCATTCATGTGAGGCTGGCATCACTTGGGTCTCCAGTGCATAAGGAGATATCTGACTATAGCTCTAGGAAAGCCTATGGCAGAAAGACAGGGGATTCATATCACTGTTGATTGATCCCTTTTGTCTTGAAGTTAATAGACACATGAGAGCACAAAAAGATGTTCTGAACAAGATTTTTAGATTGTGCTGGCTGAGGAACACTTAGAGAGATGTTCAACATCCTTAGCCATCAGGGAAATGCAAATCAAAATGATTCAGATTCCATCTTACACCTGTCATAATGGCTGAGGTCAAAAACACAATCGACAGCTCATGCTGGAGAGGATGTGCAGTAAGGGTAACACGCCTCCATTGCTGGTGGGAGTGCAAACTTGTACAGTCACTTTGGAAATCAATATAGGAATTAATCTACCACAAAACCCAGCTATACCACAGCCAGAATGTAGAAACAACCTAGATGTCCCTGAGCTGAAGAATGGATAAGGAAAATGTGGTACATTTACACATGGCTTAACTCCAGTCTCAGAGGTCTGACACTTTCTTCTGAATTGCACAGATACTTAGCATGCCCATAATTCACAGACAAACATGCAGGCTAAATACTTGTATGTATAAAAATAAATAAATGGAAAAAAAAAACAAAAACCTTTCTTAGGTAGCAGCTGTTAGATAGAAAAAAATTTTAGAAAGTTAGCAAAAAAACTAAAGGAAGCCAGGCATGGTGGCAGGCAGAAGCAGGCAGATGAGTTCAAGAAAAAAAAAAAATTAAAGTACTATAAATCAAAACATAGTGGAACTTTGACATGTACGTTCTATGAAATGGATTTGCTTTAAAAAGTAATTGGCTTTTTCCACTCTGTTATAACCATTGAAGTATGCCTCTACATTTTGTATGTTTAAAGTGGAAAGGAAACTCTGTAACTTAGCATCTGCTTTTGAACTGAAGAGAAATCTTTGAGATGGTGCAGGGAGGTTAAGCTGGAGAGATGGCCTAGTGGTTGAGAGCAGTACCAGATGACACAGCCTCGATTTCCTGCACGGCAGTTCACAACTGTCTGTAACTCCAAGAGCTGACACTCCCACATGTAGGCAAAACACCAATACACATAACAAAAATTTTAAAAAACAATTTGTTTCAGGATAATAATAATAATACCTTGTTACCATAAATATGAACCAGCTATGGTTTAAACATTAAAAGTTTGCTTTGTGGTAAGCTATGTTAAAACTTCTTTTGAATATTTCATGATTTACTACTGGTTCGGGTTTTAGGTTGTTATTTTCTTCTTCTTCCTTGGTTCTATGCAAATTTCTGAAAGAATAGATACCTTTAAAAAGGCTCAGTGGTAGAATACCTGCCTCGAATATATGAGACCCTGGGTTTGATCCCCAGGGCTAAAGAAGGGACCTCAATCTCCCATCTACTACGTGGTCTGTGCCCACATTTAAGCTCCTTGGGGTTACAGCTTTCTGATAAGACCCATACAAAGGCCACACCACCTTTCAATAACATCCTTTGGTGGTCACTGAAATCTTCTCTTTGTAGTCCCTTTCATAGTACTTACACAAAATGCCTCTCAAAATTAAAAGTGTTAATTAACACTGTGTTCTCCTTCTATGCCAAGCATTACCATTTTATAGAAAAGAAAGAAGAAAGCTTGCAGAACTAAGACCCAAAGAGTTTTTCTATTCAGCATGGCAGCTACCAGCTGCAAGTGTGTGTGTGTGGGGGGTGTGTGTGTGTGTGTGTGTGTTTTAGTAAAAATGTGATTCTTTCGTTGCAGGATGTTCTGATGAACAATAAATTAAGATCTTAAGTAGACACATACAATAATGTTCAATATTCCATGTATTAAAGAAAAACTGATATAGGGAAATATAAGCTTAATTATAATTTGCCTACATGCTTTTAGGAAAAAGCCAAAAGAAACAATGAGTTGGTCTCAGAATTGGCATTCAGTATTCAGCTCAACATGCTAGCAGTTTACTACTTGCTGTTCACAGAAAGAACAGCTCAGGGAATCGAAAGAAGCAGCAGTGGTTTAATGTCTCTGTGGTCAACAAGAAAATGCTGATAAGCAGGCTTTCTATACAAAGGCAGGATCCTTCTGGGAACTTTCTTATTTATCTGCTAACCAATAGAAAAGTTCACTGACCACTGAACTGTAACTGCTTTCTATGACTGGTTTCATGATGGTACCTTAACTTTAGTATCTTCTTCACTTAATAACTATAAAGAAAATAACCTAATCACAAATTAAAGTCAAATCAAAAGAAACTGTTTAATCTTTGCCTTAGTCAATGCTCTATTGCTGTGAAGTGATACCATGACCACAGCCAACTCTTTAACAGCAAACATTTAACTGAAGCTAGCTTATAGTTTTAGAGGTTTAGTCCATCATCATGGAGGGGAGTACAGCAGCATGCAGGCACACATAGGGAAGGAACTGGAAGTTCTACATCTGGATCCACAGTCAGAAGACAGAGTCACTGGGCATGGCTTGGGCTTCTGAAACCTCAAAGCCCACTTGCAAAGGCCTCTCTTCCTAATCCTTCTCAAGTAGCACCACACCCTGATGACTAAGCATTCAAATATGAGCCTACAGGGACATTCTTATTCAAACCACCACAATCTTAAATGTGAATAAAATTCAAATGCTAAATAGAGCATTGCTTAAGAGATTAGTTATAGTTAATTTGGAAATGTCATCATTAATCTAGTGAAAAGTACTCCTAATTCAATTCATAATTTTAATCTTATGATTTAATTTTATATCAAGAAGTTTGTCTTTAAAAGACCCCAGTAGATAAATATAATGTATTTATGATTAACAATAATTTTATTTTCTATCAGGTACTTTTCTACTACAATATTTTTCTCAAACAACACAAATGTTTTAGAACTGGATCATACTGTCTCTTCCCAATTTAAAATGCAATGTTGACTTTTTAAAAAGAAAAGATTTATTTATTTATTATATATACAGTGTTCTGGCATGTAAAGGGGCAGAAGAGGGCACCAAATCACATTATAGATGGTTGTGAGCCACCATGTGGTTGCTGGGGCCTCTGAAAGAGCAGCCTTTACCTCTGAGCTATCTTTCCAGCCCTGAAGTACTGACATTTTTAAGAATAAAACTTAGCACTCAGGAAGCCAGCCTGTTCTGTAAGGCAAATTCCAGGGCTAAAGTTAAGACCTTGTCTCAACAAATATACATACACACGCACGCACGCACGCACGCACGCACGCACGCACGCACGCACGCACGCACACACAAAACAAATCGAATAAGCAGAGATTCTGAGACAGAGTCTTCGATGCTGTTTTGTGTTCTCATGTAACCATGTAAGATGGCCATGGACTCACTGTGTTGCTCAACACACACACACACACACACACACACACACACACATATATATATATATATATATATATATATATATATATATATCAAGCATAAACCTGGTAAGAATGACTAACTGGCAATTTTTTAAAATCCTTTGAAGACTTCAGACACATAATGCAAGACTTTTAAAAGCAGACTATTACAACCCCAGATGTGGCTTATAAAATGACCACACAGACTCAA